TCTGTACACTAACTTAACAATTTGATAATTTTGAAACGTTTGTTCAAATTTTAATATCATCGAAAATCTTATTTAAATAAATGTAAAATTTTAAGACAAACGGAAAATGGGAAGTGACAAGATATTCAAAAGGGAGAAATTTTGAAAAATAGACAACATTGATAATTGGGCCAAACCAATATACATAAACCCCAAGATCAATTACACACTGATGAATGAATGAATATTGTGCAACATGAAAGTGCGATTGGATATATTTATTATCTTTTCTCCAGAGTGTGCGTGAGTGAGCGGAGATGTGAAGGATAATCCCCTATATTTTTTGAGTTTTAACGTACATAGGTGGAGGACATGTCCCTAGAATGTGTTTAATTAAAAATATTAGTATAGAATGGGGGTATTAAATTACAAAATTGACATTATAAACATGACAAAGTAAGGTTAATTTAGGTATATCAAATTTTTACAGATTCATTGGCTCTTTTATAATAGTATAGATATAGATAGATAGATTTTAAAAGATGTCGATCATTACAATCACAACGTGATCCAATGGGATTAGTATTTATTCGATAAATGTTTGTTTATTTCATTTAATTTCCACTGCGTATCTCACCCGTTTGATACAGCGAACACAACACTTAATTCTTTTTCTCTTTATCAATCGCTATGAGGTGAAAATCATTTAGAATGAAAGTAGAATACGCACGACAACTTTATTTTAAGATCGGTATATTACCAATTTATGACAAAAATTGATAACCACAACTGCTAATTAATTTTATATCAAACAAGATAAAGGGAAATAAATGAAAATTATCAAGCAAATTTGAGTCTCCAGTATTTCTGTTATTACAGTGCATATCAGTGACATTAACATATAAAAACGGGCACAACCTGCATATATAAAACACAGCTTTACCCTATAAATTAATAATACAAAATTGAGAGAAAAAGTTCATAGGAACAAAGTTCATTGCGATTTTAATTTAATTATGTTGTCCAAGATTCGATGATGATCATATGTCGTTCGACGTTGATGATTGAGTTCGACGCTTAAGAAATTGCCATGGTCCCGTTCCTGTTCCCATCCTGTAAAATAGAAATTAATGCACAATAATATATATATATATCACTTTATAAATTAAATGTTTTGTATACAAAATATGTACTTTAAAGTATTAATAATATGTATCTTATGATAAATATTCACCATAAATATATATACATAGTTCTATTTTTTAAAAACAAAAAATATTTCAAAAAAATAAAAATAAAAAGTATATATATAGGGACCGGGTCAATGACCCGGGTCAAGACCAGGTTGCCCGAGTTTGATTGTTGTCCGGTCCGAGAAGCTCACCCGGACCGGTTCCGGCTCCTAGGTCGACCCCGATGCGGGTTGAAAAACCATGGTTTTTCCCCAATTATTTGCAGCATTATGCAAGTTAATGATTTAAGTGGAAAAAGTAACACTATAATTACCTCCAGAGGCCAGCAAATGTCCTCAAGCCCATGTAAATGGTCAAAGCAAGCCATATACCAACAAAACCATTACTTTTAGACAGAAAAAACAAGGACCCAATGCTTACAATGGACACAAGAACCTGAAAAATAATTTGGGAAGCAACAACAAATAAAATAAAATAAATTAAATAATAATTGCATATAATATAAATGACATTGCCTTAAAATGAGTATATATATATATATATGTAGATATATAATTAATTACCATAGAATATGCAGAATATGCAAAGTCAGATGCTCCAAAATTAACTCCATCAAACACAAATGCCAATGAGTTTATAGGTTGTGTAGCTGCTACAAACTGGCCAAAACCAAAATAAAAAAAAAAAAGGTAAAAATTATAAACCAAAGAAGATGAGTGTTTAATTTATAGTGACAATTTTTCAGGGTAGATTAAGTTTGACTTTTTGAGTTTTACCGGAACTCCAATGGCGATCACGCGAATAACATTTCGATCACCGGTAAATATTCCGGACCCGAACTGGAGCCCAAGTCCTACAAATACTGCTAGCCCGAGTCCTAGAACGAAGCCCATCTTCAAAATACAATATCTAGCTTCAGCTCAAGGATTGTTTATATTTAACTCAAAACATAATCTATTTTGACATAAAACTACTCATATAAAGTACCTGAAGCACTCGAGCGGCAGCAGCCACTGCTTTCTGATAGTCTTTCTCAGCAAAAGCGCAAGCAAGAATCGCCTACGGTTAAAAAAATCATCATGTAAAACAATATACGTACGTTTGTCTCGATCAATCTTTACAGTGTGGATTTGTTAGATATGTGTGTTATATGTTACCTGGCCAGCAACTGCCAAGCCATCAGCAAGTAGGGAAGACATGAGCCAGACTTGTAGGCATATCTGAAAGGCGGCCATTGGAGTCGGGCCGAGCCTTGCCGCCATTGAGGCAGCTAAGGTCACGCAGGTTGTAACGGCTATTACTCTTGCTAGCAAAAGGAAACCTGAATTTCAACCAAGTCGGGTTAATTTGTGTTCGGTCGATTGTACTGAAAGTTTTGCTTTCAACTGAACTATACATACCATTCTTGAGAAACTTGCTGAACTGTAGATCTTTTAAACTTGGAGGTAACAGATTCACTTGTTTCATTAATTTGAACAGGAGAATCACACATATTAAGTACCTTAAAAAAAAAGTCATCTTGTTATAATCAAAAGTATATAATAAGATTTAATATGAACCAACATTAGTATTTTCAAAGTGTTAACATACTGTGAAAGGCTGTGTGCAATGGCTGCACCACTCACACCCCATCGGCACACGAATATGAAGATCGGGTCCAAAATAATGTTCGTCAAATCCCCTATAACTGTAATAACAGAAAAAAAAAGTAAACAACTTGATTAGCTATACATATTTATACAAATACAAGTAGTTTTCGAAAGGGGAGGGAATTTACTTACCCGTAGCATAAAGAGGGGTTTTAGTATCCTTAAATCCTCGAAACACGCCTTGCATGGCTAAGGAAAGAAGAACAGCCGGTGCCCCGATTGATCTTATTGTTAGATACTTTAGTGCTGGGGCTAACATCGGCGATCCCTACTCCGTCAAACATAAATATTCCTTATTCATTTTACTAAAAACCTCCTCAATTGCAAGATCTAATATATACATATATATGCTTACCGATTTGACGCCCATGAAACCTAAGAATGGCTTAGCTAGCAGTATGAGGAGCAATGTCTGGAAAAGCCCAAGAATAGCCCCAAGAAGCAGAGCAGTCGATGCAGAAGGAATATTACGACGCTTGCTTTTGGTCTTCGCCTTGCTCATGACGCCAAATGAAGCATCTACACTCTTGCGTGTCGCCTTCTTTTCTTCTTGCACAAACAATAACATCATTTTTAACACAAATATTTTTCTCAAAAAGAAAGCGAAAACTAGTTAACAATAATTATACACTCACCGTTCTCTTGAACTTGCAGGCCGTCTTTCGTACCTGAGTTCTCGGAGTTCTCATCTTGTGATGTGGTTGATTTATTGTTTCCATTTTTCTTACACCCTTTCTCCAAGTCGTCGTCGTCGTCATTTTCTGCGTTTTTAGCGTTGATTCTTTCGACAGTGTCCTCCTCTGCCACGAATGAGGTGGTGATGCTAACGAGCGGGAAAATGGTGACTTTTGAGGCCTGATTTAATATCGCTATCGAAACTCCCACCCCTGCTATTTCTACTGGACCTGTTTTTTCACCACAGCCCCAGTAAATCGAGTCAAGTTTGAATGAATAGCATTTGTAGTTTATTAGAATGAGGGAAGAGAGTGCGGTCCCACTAAGTGAACCGCACCATAAGAGGGTGAGGCTAGGTGCACCTTAGTGAGGTCACTAAGGTGCATCTAGGCCCACCATCTTATGGTGCGGTGAATCACTAAGGTGCACCTAGGCTCACCCTCTTATAGTGCGTTTCACATAGTGGGACCGCACTCTCTTCTTCCGATTCTAATATAGTTGTAAAAAAACTAATTGACAATCATGATTTTGAAGTTACAATATTAACACCTAAATGGCCGATAAATGCAGTGTCGATCAAAGATGCAATGGGGTCGGCAGCCAATGCCAGAGCAGCCGGGAGTGCAATCCGCAGTATTTCCATCCCAAGCTCATCCCTTTTGAAAACATAACTACACTCAAAACCCAAATACATAGAATAATGAACAGTCAGATACAAGCAAATCTTGATTTATCATTTCATGCATTCTGCAAAATATATATAATGTTGCATGCATCGAAGATGCTACGGTCCCGTTACAGAATTATTCCGTCGGGATTGTAACTGTTAGATCAACTATCTTTGACGGTTACATGATGATCTCACGGTTACAAACCCCAACAGAATAGTTCTGTAACGGGACCGTAGCATTTTCCATAAACATAATACTACCTGACATCTCTGAAGAAAACGAAGATTGGGATTTTCCATTTCATCGGAGGTGGGGGCACGATCGTTTCAGCTTCCTCGGCCATGATTATCGTACTTACTTAATCAGCAGTTCTATATATACCTGTAATAAGTGAATCACAAAGAAAAATATCTGGTTTGAAGAGAAGTGAAATAGATGTTTAACTATTTTATACGTTAAAGGGGTTAGGTTAATACCTGATGAGAAAATAAGGAACACTACTACTTTTCAACTAAAGTGCATGG